CTCGGTCTGATTTCGGGGGTTGGGGGGCCTTCTTATATACGCTCCTGGTTGATGATACATAACATTTTATGGATATAATATACACAATACTCAATAGATCCATATATATATATATATATATATATATATATATATATATATATATATATATATATATATATATATATATATATATATATATATATATATATATCACATTGCAATACCCAAATCCCAGGCTGTAAAAATTGCAATACCTACGAGTATTCATTTTATTGTTTACGTTTTAAAGCTACAAATTGTAGCTTTGTCGAAATATTCGAAAAATGTTATCTATATGGTGTGTACCTTTATACTCATAATTGTCTTCATAAGATATCTTAACCCTCTTGTTATTAATATCATTGTACCTGCATTCACCCTCCTTCGTTCAATATAACGTCAGCTTAATATTTTTTATGCTATTGACGTCGTAACAAGTGCGGTGTAGGGTGAGTTGGGTCAAACGGAACAAGTTTTTTCAAAAGCTGACCAGTGTCCATTTCACATTATCATAATTATAAATGGGATCATCATAACAGAACAGGTACCGTACAAATTGGAGTAATTCTCACTTGTATGAATACGAGTAGCCTGATGGTTTATGGTATATTGTGACATTACTTTCTGGAGATTATAATTTCGAGCATAACTGCAGACGATAACTACGATTTGACAATTAGAAAGGTTTACTATTTCATATCACATAGAGAGGTATTTTGTATGGATTTATAAGTCATGTATTGTTTGGGATGAATCAAATCGTGTCATTCTTTCATAAAATTATAAATTGCAGATTGTCATCGAAGATCTCATGGCTAATACTGATTTAACAAATATAATATTACAGCATGTAAGTATAAATCTTTTAAGCTTAAACAAAAAAAACTTACATATTTACAAGCAAACTTCATCAAGGAATATTTATCTGTGATTCAAGAGATACTAGATGATTCTAGGACAACATTATTATGTTAATTTTTAATTCAGCCACGTTTATATGTATTATTTTGATTTGTTTGGCGATAAGTCCTCTGTGTTTATTTATTTAAATTCCTAGGTCGAAATTTCCTGCAGAAATATGTTGCCTTCTTTGGAAATAGATGATCAGATCTCCGAATAAATTGATTATATCTTATTCTTTGCAGGATATTTTGATTGTATATCACTTTTCTAAGTTTGTTGGTACAAATAAAATTAGCTGAACTGCCTTAATGAGCCGACAGATGAAAGCTGGATAGATGGATAGATATGTCTTCGGCAGTTTCATTTTGCGGACTATATCGATAAATTTTCATTCGATTTTTTATTTTCTTCTGCGATTTAATATTTGATATATATATATATATATATATATATATATATATATATATATATATATATATATATATATATATATATATATATATATATATGTATGAATATGATTCGTTTAGTTTTCATGTGCTTTACATAACTAATGAAGGTTTCTTGGGAATGAGCACAGTTTGAAATTGATGAAGTAATTGTTTATTCTACATATGTTTCGGCTCTAGGCCTTTTTCAAGAATATTACAGGTTCATGTTATTTGGAAATTGACTTCAATTTCACAAATCTTTCGTAAAACTCTTTTACGTTTTAAGAGTTAAAAGGTTTAAAAGTTAAAAACTTAAAAGTTTTACGAAAGATTTGTGAAATTGAAGTCAATTTCCAAATAACATGAACCTGTAATATTCTTGAAAAGAAATTCTGAGAAGAAACCTTCATACTTTTGTATGAATATGTATATAAGTGCTTTAGTGAGTGAGCCAGGTTTTGTTATACATTGACTTCATTGGTAAAGTTCTATTCTTGTTTCATGAATTATTCAAATAAAGCAAGCATTTTGTTCGACAGAAAAAATTATAAAACTTTCATTATCACCCGAAACAGCTTGAAACAACAAAACCATAGAGATATGAAATCAGTAGTGATTTTGTATCATTTCATTGTTAGCCTACAATAAATCATAAAATGTTACTATGTCAACAATTTCAATTCGGAAATTATTGGTCTTCTACTAAAACAACCATTTCGAAAAACGAATAAATACTGTAAAAGTTTATTCAGATTCTACTTTTGTGATGCTTGAAGCTTTTTGAAGCCTTAATTAGTTACAAACTTCTGAATAACAGAAAATATTCAAGAGTATTTCAATTTACGAATACAATAAAGGATGCAGGATAGTAACTCTTTCTCGTACATCTATATCTAATCTTGCCTTCTAATGTCAGACTACAACTTAAAATTCCAATAATTCATCTCAAATGGTTCTCTTAACTACACCACTTTTCTGTAGACAATAAGATAAAAGAACTCACCATAACATTGCTCAGGAAAGATGTTTCTTCTAACTTGATGCTGACGCCCAGGTAAGTCCACGTGCCTTTGATAACCGATTAAAGAGTTCTCTTCCATTATTTCAATCACTTCTGTTTTAATCTTCTATACTAAGGAACTTATAAAGCATAATTTTTAGACGCGGTACGCGACATTAATTTTAATTGTAACAAAATATAAACTTAGATTTATTTAACAATTTTTTTAAATTTTTATTTTTTTTTATTTTTTATTATTAATTTAAAAATATCACAATAAGTTTCAGTAGGGCATGTGTTGTTCTCTGAAGGTCAGGAACGACTGATCCTTGAGGATTTGTGAATCTGTTAGTACACTTCGTGAAAAGAGGATTTGGGGTCACTTAATTTGAATAGAGAGTGAAGAAAAATATAGTTCGTGTAAGGGTGAAAAGGACGCATAGAAAGAGTTGAAGGGGGTAGCAGCGAGATTTGAAAGGGTTGAGCAATGCACAATGATCTCATGATTTCTGCAATGGTGGGGAAGCAAACTAAGCATTCTATTGGTTCTGAACACGATATGATGAATGGACCACTTTGTGTATGAATAAGAGGAATGATATTCGAAAATCTGCTTATTTATGATTTAAAATTGAAATATAATCCCAAGCAGTTATTCTTTTTGTTCTACATATTCTTACACTCACAAAAAATGAGTGATAAATATAGCACATTTGCATCTTTATATATCTCTCTATATTTTAAAAAAAATCGGGTGATTATTGTACCGAATATCCTTATTTCCACGAATTTTTCTGAATTTTGTTCTATTTTTCATTTGATAACAGCTTCTTGCACCAATATAAAAATAGCAACTACTTATTCGTTCATGGCCGTAAGTTTCTTTAGCTATATAAATGAAAATGAATCACCTGAATGCATGTACGTAAAATTCTTCGAAAGACTACTCCAAATTGGATAATCTTTTTCATTTGGTTTTTGTTATTCTTAAAATTCGTTATAATCAAAACAAGGTGCGTATTGAACAAAAATTTATTCGATACGGAGAACTTTGTACAGCCATATATTTTTTCCGTAAATATTTTTGAAAATTCTGAAATATTTCTTTGATATTTATCTCGTGAAGAAATGAAAGGGGACATATTTCCAGTAATTTTAAATCAGTCGGATCATCATCAAGTACATATTTACACACACACACACACACATATATATATATATATATATATATATATATATATATATATATATATATATATATATATATATATATATATATAATAAGCTTCATTTGTATAATCTTCACATACAACATCAGAGTAATATTCTACATTCAAGAATTAAACAAACGGCGTCAAACAATCGGATCAGATTTCCTACAAATAAACCACTATTAGCTTTTACACACTAAAGAATTCGATTAAGTTGTAGGGCTCATTTTGTATCACTAGTGTTTCAACCCTCTTTACAAATTGTAAAACAGTTTCATGCACATATATGAAGGACTTTTCTCCGTCAGACTTAGACGGTGTATTGGAAAATTAAAATTTAATATATATATATATATATATATATATATATATATATATATATATATTTATTTGCGAAAATTCTGCAAAGACGTATTCTACGATTTGTGCTACACTATTTATTTATTTTTTCTATTTATCCCTGAAGAGCCGAAGGGTACACATAAACTAATGAAAAGTAACATTTCCACTTATTTCAAATCAGTTGAATAATTATTAATTCCAATATTTATTTGCAAAAATTCTGAAAGACGTAGGTATTCTACAATTTGTGGTACACACTTTATTTTTTTACTATTGATCCCGTATGGAGACGAAGGAAGCCATTATGAACTAAAGAAATGTAACATTTCCAGTAGGTAATTTCGAATCAGTCGGATAAATCATTAATTCCATATATATTTGCCAACATTCTGAAAGACGTATTCTACAATTTGTGCTGCACTATTTATTTTGTGACTAGGTATTAATCCCGTGTGGAGACGGAGGGGGCACTCATAAACTAAGGAAATGTAACATTTACAGTAATTTCAAATCAGTCGGATAATCAATAATGCCATATATTTTTTCAAAAACTCTCAAAGAAATATTGTACGATTTGTGCTACACCAATTATGTTTCCGAAGGGGGCCCTCATGAACTAAGAAAATGTAACACTTCCAATAATTTCAAATCAGGCAGATTTGGCAGTATTTATATACATATACAAGTATATTAATGTATATCGTCGGTAGTATATATCTTTATTACACTCAGTTTCATACATCATATTACAAAATACTACTTATGAAGCTAATATTGCACCGGTTCATATTTGGTTGGAACTACATATATTTATATATTATAATTTAAATTAAATTGTATACTCAATTGCATTTTATCACAGATGTTAATTAATATATTGACATATAAGTATCACAGTTTTAAATGTTTCATCAGAATATTGCTTGTTGAGACAGCGACACTGTAAGTACATTTGTTTATCATTGTTTGAATGTCTATGTTTCTTAAACCAATATTTTGTAATAATTTCACAAAATGTTTATGTTCCACAGTTGTCACTATCTCCCCATAGCTTCCAACAACAAAGATTCCCAATTTCACTGGACAGTTATGCTACTAATATATAGTGGTAAGTATCCCCGCCTGTCACGCGGGAGACCGGGGTTCGATTCCCCGCCGGGGAGGATATTTTGTTAAGTTTATATCAGGGCCAGATGATAATGCATCCTAATAATGCATGCCAAGTATAATTATAATAACTTAAGTAACAACTGCTTTAGAGCCAAATCAATGACTCCGCATTTAGAGCCAATATATATATATATATATTTTTTGGTAATTGTTTTATACGATATAACATTTTAATAACATATATTATTTGAAAAAAGTGAATTAGTAAAACCATTATAAAATTTTAAATCTAAATAAATTGAGAACTTTCATTAGTTTTTCTTTTATCATAAAAATGTTATGATGTGGTATACAATTAGTTCATACGTTAGCTTCACGAATATAATTCGTGAGCTAACTTAGTTAGCTTCTTCGAATTATATATATTCAAAATTGATTTTTATAGTCCGTTTGATATAGTTACGTTTATAATATTTTTAGCAAAAACAGTCTGTTTGTTATGCAAAAATCTTTATTTTGGTTAACGTTTCGTTGTATATCACAACTTTGTCAAAAGTAATGAATATTTGAAATAATGAAAATTTTATAAATTATTATGGATATCAAAACGTCCAACATATTTTTTTGAATAAACTTGGCTTTTTTGCTTCTTTAGTATACAGAGTAATATTCTGGCTCAGCATTCGCTTCGGAAGTTTATTAGTCTTCTTCTCCATGAGGAAACCTCTGGAAACTTCATGGTAAGTCAGGTGATTGAAATGAGTCTGATATAGTGGCGGATATACATAATATTTTGAGGGGGGCAAGACCGGTGAAAACCAAGACAAAAAAATGGCGAAACAAAATAAATACAAGTGAAGAAAAAAACCGGTGGAAAAAACATATCTTTTTCCCCCCATTTTATACGCCCCTGGTGTGATATATTTATGATGAAGAAAACTAATAATAAACTTCCGAACCCAATGCTGAGCCAAAAATATACCTCTCAATATTAACGGGGCTAAAGGGGTTGATTTGTTTAAAAAAAGTAAGTTTGTAAAGTAAGTTAACAAAGTTATAATATACTACGAAACGTCAACAAAAATAAATATTTTTGCATTACAAATGGCCTGTTATTTTTATGGCCAATAACACCAATTATGAAATATGTATATAAATATATATATATATATATATATATATATATATATATATATATATATATATATATATATATATCAATTTCAAAATACATCCCATTCCCTCGACTGTTTCCTCTTGCAATCATTCGTAGATATTTGATCCATTTCTGCCAAAAGGAGGCAGTCTTTAAATACAAAGTTATGTTCTTCATCCAAGTATAATTCAATCAGTTCATCTCACAAAGTTGCAACAACATTTCGATAATCTCTTCGGCCTTTCAATACCTTCACTGCCCTTGCACTGCTTGTAATATTAAGCAAATCCTCATGATTATCGGCATTCTGATATTATTTAGGAAATATATAAACCTCGTTTTCTTTTACTTTTTTAATGGTTTTGACACTTATCGAGGGTACTCCTTTCTTAATTTACTCGCATTCTAATAAAACCTCTTTACGAATCATCTTTATTGGGCTATAGGTACTTATATTGGTTTTACAGCAAATTGATTTATATGATTTATATGATTTTCAATGGAATTGATTGAAAGAAATAAATATTCTGGAAAGAAATAAAATTTTAATTTACAATCTCAATGAAACTTTCATTAATAAACAACTTACCTGAAAACAAAAATCAATTTAATGTCATTATTCCATAAAATCTCAATTTTTAATTCTATCTTTATATTTCTAACGTTGTTTCAATTATCATACATGTGAGATTAAAGAAGTTACCTGGCAATTCCATGGTATTCCTTCCCTTCTCTCACATTGATCACAGATAAACATTTACCGAACTAAACTTTTTTTTTTAACTAATTCTATACAAACATCATGAACAGCTAAAAAGGATAAGACAGAACTCTTATCCTTTTATAGCATGTATAATAAAAACAAAATACATGAACAATAGTTAAATTAGTTAGGTAAAAAATATGGAACATACTTTTCTTTACTTCACAAATTATGTTTAATCAATATCTTCAACATATATTTCTAGCCATTATGAACTAACACAACTACAATACAAGATTGTTACATTAAGTCCATATATAAAAATAACAGAATCTGCTATTTGTGCAGATTTGTACATACGTATTCAAGTAATATTGAATGAGACTAGGGTCAGTTGAAATATTTGAGGCTGATTTGAAATTTTCGAAATCACAATTAGTTAACTGAGTAATACAAGTATACAAAATGAAAAAAAAACTTTAAAATATATCAAATCGAACCATTTTTGAATTAAAGTCGGTTAAACTGAATAGTCTGCAAATACCTGAAAGGTTCCAACGGTTCAACCCAAAGCAGTTACTTAGACCGTTACAAAAATTCAATATCGTTTTCTATAATGAAAAATAAGAATTAGAGCAACGGTCAAAGGGTTCCTCAACCGACAAATATCCATTTCAACGACCTATAAAAATTAGTTCACATACTTAACATATACCTGGACAAATCTCCTGGAATTTTCTCATGTGGCCGATGGTCATCAAAACGGCATGCAGGTAAATTTTGTCCGAATTAAAAATTGCTTTATTTAATCATTGCGCCATGGTCAGTTGAAAATTCCTTTCCGCCTTACAAAAGCTATGCATATGGTCGTATATTGCAAGCTAGGAAATCTACCTGCCTACACATCGGTTGTTAACCTTCCGTGGGACCTTTCGCAATATGACCCAATTTAAATATGCTCTAGATTTGTGAGTGAAGGGACACTGGGCCAGTGGTCAAAAAAGGATCGGACCCATAGGTGACCATTGTTTTTTTGAGTTGCCCGTCCGTTTTCTATCATACGGATGGACCAGCCTTTGTATTTGGCGGTTCTCAAAGAATTTTCTTCTACCTCTTTCAACGGACGTCATGGTCAGTTCTTATAGGAAGGGTGAAGTTGGGCAAGAAGGGAATTAGATAATTCGGCATATACCTAAAATACGTTACAAAAATGACGTAGCTATGTAGTTCATTGGATGTGTAAGAAAGACATACTGCCACGTGATATTCAGCTATTTTTCCGTTATAAGAACAGGCAATATATTCATAGATATTTCAATACCTCTAAGCCAAGGTGAATTCACAAATTCAAACTTGTTTTCTTTGATAATACGTAACTTTCAGTTTTGTATAACTTCGATTATACCTATACAAGATTATACTATTAGTGACTTTAATTACCTACGAATTTTTGAAAACTTAATTTACTCGACTGTGGTACGTGTGAAGTTTGTAAAATATGTAAAAATTAAATTGTAGCGAATTCATCAAGTCTTAATGAGTAATTTCAAAGTTAATAAGGATGTCAGATGAGATGAAAATTTACTTATATACATATTTATAAAGTATGAAGAACTCAAGAAGATACAATAGTTTTAGAAAATTATTTATGGTGAATACATTTTTTTGATCAATGCTCTTCGTAAATTTGTGATTTATGATTTTCTGCAAATTATAAAAATAATCAGAAAGTGAAATTCACATAAATTATAGGAACAAAAATTTTTTATTATAGGATAAAAGGTTCTGCCCTTTGTGAAAGTAGTTCGGCAATGATATTTTTTTATATGGGGCTTAGTCGTTGGAAGTCATCAAACGGTTAAGTAATTTATAGCAAAGCTTTCAATTTATGAGGTTGATTCTAGTTTATGATTCATTTAATTATTAAAAACTTATACGAGGTCATATTTGTACTTTTGCACTTATTTGTTGCAAGTGCCTTTGCTTTTCCTTTTTGGAAATATCTAAAAACGAATAAGGGTGAAAATGTAGAATATCCAATAATATGAAGGCATATTTGAAACACTGAGTGAAGCAAGAGACTTAGAGTAGCCACAGATTAACATACAGTTTCGAAGGTGTGATTCACTACAATTTATGTTTAGAAACATTTTTGAACTATATTTACTGAGTCACATTTAATTGGTATTTGTGTTAAATGAATACATCATTGCTAATTTAAAATCATTTCTAAAATTCCTTCACACAAGAAAACGTTGTCCTTTATCGTTACTTGAAATATCGAATCTGTGCATTTATTTTATTGAATCATATCATCATATTATCATCCTAAGGAACTTATTCCTATTGATTGGCTAGTAAATCTTCCTGAGAATTTATCGTTCTTGTTTTTCTATTTCTCTAATTCTTGAACGACAATCAATAACCACTGTTTCAGCTGCGTAGATTGCTTCTGGAAGAATCGTTGTGTTGTAATGCCTTAATTTGACTCCTCTCGAAATGCACTTTTTGTTATAGTGAGCCCATGATAATTAGTAGGCCCTTTGGAGCTTGGTAATTCTCTGTTCATTAGTGATTCGATTTAACCCTGAGGACTGTAAAACTTCCCGGAGGTATTTAAAATGGCCGACTTGCAGAACTTCACCATGTTCTGTGATAAAAGAAGAGAAGATTTATTTTTGGTTTTCTTTGCATGTATTTGGTTTTATCTTAAGAAATTTGTAACCCGGTTTTCTGCGCAATTTCATGTAGTTTTTCTACGGCGAGAATGGTTTCAGTTCTGTTGTCTGTGATGATAGCAATAATGTCTGCAAAGGCGAGACATTTGACATTTATTCTATTTTCTTTTTTTATACGCCCTTGTATGTCATTTAAGTTCCCATTCCCTAATGATCTTTTCTCAAACATATTGTAAAGAATTGGCGATAGTCTGTCCCCCTGTCGCACACCGGTTTTGATTTCACAGGGATCTGATACTTCGCCCATAAATTTTACCTTGGAAGTTGTACCTACCTATAAGTGTCTTTTCTATAATTTTTCGGGTCTTTTTATCGATTCCAAATTCTTTCATGATTTCAAAAAGGGTTTCGCCGTCTACCGAATCATATGCTTTCTTGAAGTCAATGAATGTGATCAATGTATTTCTACATTCCCTCATCTGTAATATCACCTTCAAAGTCCAGATCTGTTCTTCACA